GTGGCAGTTGAAAGAGTCATGCTGTGAGGACATGAAAATAGACCAGTTGGGAGGCTACTGATACGTGTCTTGAACCAGGATGATAGCAATGAGAAGTGAATGGATTCTGGAAAGTAACTCATTGAGTTTGTTAATGAGTTAGCTCAGGGTTGGAGGAGATAATACAATAAATCTAAGATTCATGTAAGGTCTTTGGCCTGATCTCCCAAAGTATGAAGTTCCTATTTGTAAAAATGAAAATGAGAAGATTGAGGGAGAGAAGGATTTTTGTTTCATTTTGCATATGATACATTTCAGAAGAAGAGCTGGGTGTGCATGTCTAGAGGGGTCTGGGCTGGAGACAGCACTATGGGTTGGATATCTTCACAAAAGCATGGTATTCAAGGGCAAGAAAGCAAGTTAAGTTCACCTGATGCTAAACAAGAGTGGCCAAGGACTGAACCCTAGGTATTCTTGTGCTTAGATGTCTGGAGGAGGAAAAGGAAAGAGCACAGGGCATTGAGAAAGAGTGAAGCTGAAGACACAGTCAAAGGGGGAACTCCTAAAAGCCACTCACAAATGTGTTTCCAGGAAGGTGATCAACAGGGTCAAATGATGCTGATGGATTGAATAGACTAAGAAGTGATGAATGACTTTTGGATTTGACAAGATGGGGCTTCTTGATGATCTTGACAAGGAGCAGTTCTAGTGTAAGCACAGGGTTAAAACTCTAACTGGGATAGAGTCAAGAATAACAAAAATAGGGAGGAGAGAGAGTGGAAATAGGAAATATAGACGACTCTGTTGAGGACTTTTGTGAGTTGAGAAGCAAAGAACTATTGCAGAAGCTGTAGAGAAACGTCAGTGTAGAGGGACATAGAGACTGTTTTCACATTTTGTTTTTTTATCAGACATTATAGCATGTGGTATGTTGAATAGATGGAAAATTTTACGGTGCGGAGATGAGGAAGGAGTCAGGAGAGATGTTTTCTGCTGTTGAACAGTGCTATACTCCGTATCCCAGGTGCAGGGTGGCAAATCAACATAGGTCTCCACACAGGTGACAACAATGACAACAAATTGGACAGAAGGTGAACAAAAGATGAAGCCTGAGCAAGTCTCCTTATTCTTCCCTTTTATTCCATGACATGGGAAGCCAGAATGTTAGCCTAGAGTGAGGAGGAAGAGGATGAAAATTTAAAGAGACAGAAAAATGTGTGGAACAAGCACCTAGGAGAAGGGAGAGAGAATGGGACAGGGAAGTGTGGTAGGGTCACCTGCAGCAGTGAGGATCCTCTGGAAGTGGCTGTCGTCATGAATTGAAAGAGACTAGGCAACAGGAATGTGTTTTTTTTCTTTAGCTCCAATCAACTTGGAAGTGCAGTGCAACATGGATTGAGTTTAACTGAAGATAGTTTGTCAAGAAATCAATAGCTACCAATATTTGTTAAAAGTCCAAGGCTCCTCGCACACTCACTCATTCATTCCCTTTTTAAGAATCTCTTACAATCCCTCCAACACCCTTCCATTTGCAGCAATTGTAGAAGGGCTGGGCTTCTTGTTGCTTTGCTTCTGTTTGGCCTCATGGGTCAATAAGTAGAAGCAATGCTATTTGCTCCAAAAATTAGCAGAACCTGGTCCCTGAAAATTAAGAGCAGCTCTTGAACCAGGTAAGAGCACCAAAGCTTGGATGGGGCTTGTCCACAGACTGCCACCCACAGGCTTGTCCTTGGCTGACATCAGCTCTCAGCTGGTGTTTGTTAAACATCACTGTGACCAGGCATTAGGAATAAAGCCTCATGCAGGGCATCTGGAGCTTACAGGATAATAGGATGACTTAGGAATGGACTCCACCTGAGAACACATTGCCTCCAGAGTATGTCTTCCTTACTGGACACACTGGCAGTGGGGTGGACCCTAGATCCCTGCCTCATGTTGACTGGACTCAACAAACACAGGTCTGCACAGGTTGATGTGCTCAGTCAATATTTGTTTTGTGCTCAGTCAACATGTGTGCTAGGTCAAGTGGTGGTAGGTGCCTTCAGCAAGGGAGGCGTGTCCTAATCCTAAAGGGATTCTGCACCTTTCATGTAGGGAGGGATATAGGGGATGCCCTAGGTCTTTCTTTGATCCATCCTGATATTGTAGCAGGCAGCAGGCACAGGCTAGTTCATCCCTGAGGATGACCTTTCCTTGGAGTTCAAGTTGAATCCAGGTAGAGGGCTCAGGGCTGGCCCAGGGGACACTTGACAAAAGGGCTAGGAGGTTGACAACACTCCATGCAAGTGGCAGCTCATGACCCAAAGCCTCCTTGCTCACCATGTGCCTTGCCCACTTTGCCTAATAGGCCTTGTGATGGTTATTTGGATGTAATAGCCCAAATCCTCATTTCTAGCTTGAGGAGCATTTATTTGCAATGCATAAACCCAGAGCAGGGCATATGGAGGACCTCACAAGGGACCCATGCCTTCCCAGCCTCTTCATGTGCAGCACTTTTGACCTCTCTCTTGGACTCCCTGTTCTAATGTCCCTGCCTCTCTCTGTACATCTGTTTCATCAAGCTGTGTGTGGTTCCCTCCGCTTCTCTGTCTCCCTGCTGTCCACAATCCTGAACGCCAAGTCCTTAGTTATGGGCACAAAGAAACAGAAGCAGAACTTAAGGCTCACGGAATCATGGCTCTGTATTCCTAGGACAGAAAATCCAATTGGCCCACAAGGTGCACCAGTCAGCCATGCTGTCCAGTCATCTGTGACAGGGAGACTCTCTTGAAGGCCAGGTACTTCCTGGCCTCAAGACCTCATCACTGTGGGAGGTCTAGCTCATCTTAGTTGCTTTTGTTCAGTTTGTGCCTCACATGTGCATGTAGTGTGGGGAGCAGGGAGAAACCCAGGTCTCTGCCCCCCATGCCCTGCTCCTCAGGTGAGCTGTGTCCCTGGCAGAACAGGCCCCCATTTCTAACTCACGGGAGGATACCACATGGGCTCTCAGTGGCAGTCTTCATGGGCTCATTAAAGCACCCCTGAAAACACTGTATTTCTCTTAAGTCTTAGCTTCAATTATACTTTGGGAGCCTTCTCTGAATGCTTAAATTAGGGGCATTTCTGCTCTTAAGATTTCTTGATACCTGGATGCTCCATACTTTATGAAAATGTCCACTTCCTTGCACTAGAGGAGCAGAGGGGGAAAAAAAGGTGTCCTGGTCACTGAAGTGTCCCCAACACCCAGTGCAGGACTGGCATCAGAACTGTTGCTGGTTGAGTAAATGAGTGTCATGGGCATAGGCACTTTTGATTGACTGACTGATTGATACTACATCATTCTGAAGGGTCAGCTGGTTGTCAATTCGTGTGCAACAGTAGTGGTATGGTGTGCAAGAAACATGACCTCACAGCACTAAGGACCCTACAGGGCACCCTAACCAAGAAGCTTCTCCCCATCCATCAGCTCAGAAAGTAGGCTCAACTTCTATGTCACTTTTAGCTCTACTTGGTGTCTGAGCTTTATTGAGGGGCTAAGAGCTGAGAGGTAGATGTGACTCCCATTCCAGCTGTGTGGCCTCCACCCTGTATATATGTAACGGGTAGGTTCTGAGCATAGGAWTGGCATGGTCATTTCTGGGTCAGAAATAATCTGGACTTGGTAGACATTTGGGGCTTTTGTGCCAGTCTCTCTTTTGCAATGTGTTTATGGATGAGAGAAAATCCTAGAGGATTTGCTGATTTTAGAATTTGAGACAGGCTGGGAAGAACCCTTCCTTTCTCCAGTGCATGTGCAACTGAAAGAGGACACGGTTTTTGTCCGAACTCCATTTTGCTCCGCTTGCCAGCAAATGAGTTCTTCCCAGCCTGTCTCAAATTCTAAAATCAGCAAATCCTCTAGGACTCTACCTTATGATGGGAACCAGGTTGCTCCCATAGGCAGGAGCAGGCATCTCATGATGGGAACTGAATGGGCCCCACAAGCAATATTGATTCTCCAGATGCCAGCAGGACCTTTCATAACCAGACCTGAGAGAATGATCAACCAGACTACTGTTTGGCCAGGATGGCTTGACTATGCATACTTCTTATCCCTGCCACCACCCCGCTTTTCTCTTCCCCTATATAATCCTGAAGCTGTTGCCAGTGCTTTGAAGACAGGGTTTAGGAAGTTGGTCACCCTGTTTCTTCCCAGAGTGATCTCATTGAATAAATTCCTTTCTTACTTCACCACCACTTATCTCTGACTGGATTGTTGAGGTAGTGGGGCACAGAAGACCTGAAGGTATAATTCAGAAGCCCTGGTTTGTGGGGACCCCTCAAGTGTCAGGTCTCTGGTAACACAACTTAGCACCCAGTGGCATCCACCTTATAAGTAATGGAGAGTTTCTGAGCACAAGAGGGACATGGTTATTTTTAGGCCAAAACCAATCTGGACTAAAACATCTGGGGCTTTTGTGGTGGCCTTTCCTTTGCAATTGTAGCCGATGGCAGACTACAGAGTATGTGATAAAAAGGGTTAAGAGCTAAACATTAGGAGAACAAGGGTGAGGTCTACTGGATTCACACCACTGTTCCCAGGGACCAGGACAGGGCTGGCCAGCAGCAGACAAATTAATCTGGCTTCCAGCAGGGCTCCTGTGCAGGACAGGAAATATGCCGAGTTCCAGCACCAATTGTTACCTTCTGTCAAGACTGATAAAGGCAGAGTAGAGGTTTTCTTCCCCAGAGCTGTTGGGAAAATACTTGGGACCCTGGATCAGAACCCCACCTTGTGAAGTAGAGTACTAACTTGCCTTTAAGGAGAGATCCCAGCAAAACCCAGAGAAAAGGGAGTAGCTTTACTTTGCTAAGGGTCAGGAGTGGCAACTGGGACCCCAGAATTCTTGCCTGTGATTACCTGAATGGCCCTTTCCCACTCACCACTGCAGCTGGTGGTTGAGTTTAAGGAAGAAAAACCAAGTTTGAAAAATTTTATGTGGTTAACGCTCATTTCAAATTCTTGGTGGCTACATTTGAATACAGATCTTTATTAGGAAAATTATAAGTGCAGATACATTTTTTTCATGGATATGACTTCAAAGTAGTAATTGTTGTTTCTCAGAGTTGTTACTTTAAGGGAAAAAAAAAAAAAAAGCACACACTGCATACAGGAAGCTGCCTTCTCCAGGACCATTTTCACATTATCTGGGAGATGCAATTTAAACAATATAAAATACAGTATTCATCACATTTAACACTGAACCCATCACTGCTCAAAGACTGAGAGCCTGGCGAGGTTGGTTTTGTCAGTGGTCTGCTTGAGGGACTTGGAGATTTCTAGGCAGCATTTCCAGGAATGGGGGTCCTTCAGAGTGGATTAGGAGAGCTGTGCAGAGGGAATAGGACCCCCAGATTTTCATCCAGCTGGAAAAGGGTGCACTACATGAGAAAGGTGATCAACTCCCAACTGGGGAGCCCTGGGTAATAATTTCAGGGAGAAAAATCACATCCTGGAAGGATCAGTGGGATGCAATGAAAAGATTTAGTTCTCTGGATATCCCCCAGGGGAGACTGCCACCTTTTGCAATGCAGACCTTCTGCTCAAAGCTGAACCAACTTTCTTAGGAGGTGATCTCTGATCTCTGGTGAACAGGTAGAGAGCAGAGGGCCCTCCTGCACTTYCTCGCTAGTGTCTCAGTGCCTTGGCCAGAGGGCGACAAACAACAGTGCAAACAACACATGGCATAGATTTGGATTCCAACATACAGCGTGTCTGTGAGCCCCCAGCCCCCCTTCCCAGTCCTGATGCAAAGGCTAGTGTCAGGGGTGAAGGATAACCCAGGAGATTGCATGGAGCCCAAGGGAATGTCAGGGTACGGGCAGCACCAGGGCTAGGAGGAACAGCTGGGTGTCCCTAGTCATCAGCTCCATGATGCATTTGACTGGTATTTTGAAAGCAAACTGGGATTAGGATGGGGAGAGACTTTTCCTTTGCTAATGGGCCATTTAAATGCATATTTTCTTCAGCCAGGCAGTCTCCACTTAGGAGAGACAATTGTTAGTAGAGAACTGTTATTTCCCTGGAGTTTCTACTCTCATCTATTCCTCCCCCTATGCAGGAGAAACAAATGATTCCTTACTTAACTCTAGTTGAGATTTATGGTCAAGTTTGTTTCTTTGGAAGCAAGAGATTTAATGGTCCTGGTTTCTAGATTCCAGAGGGGAGGTGCTCCTAAGTTTTCCATGAAGGATAACTTGGATTACCTGGAAAATTATTGTCTCACTGAACATTCCATTATTTCATGTATAAATCAGAAGACTTGTAGGGATGGGTTAATTGCAAAAGAGAATTTTTAAACTAGCTCAGTGTTCTTATAATTAATAAAGATCTCCTAACCCCATTTTCCCCCCAGTATAACATAACTGGTTTGAAAATCTTATGTTTGAATTGGGGGAAATTTTTTGGTAGATGGATTTACTTCTTCTATAAAAAACCAATTTAAGCTAATATTTATGGAAATGCCTGACACACATTTCTAATTACAGATTATGAAATATCAGAACACCTGCAAGTAAAATCTCTTTTTAACTTCCTTTCTCCACGCTACGTACAATGTCATGTCAACTGATAACTTTCCTTGCTTTGCTCCTCATTTTTCCCATCTTCCTCATTAAAGTGTCTCACTAGAGTCTTTAACCAAAAAGAGAAAGGTATTAGTGAGACTGAATGAAAAACAAAACATACAAAGACATCCAAATACCTACATGTTAAAGCAGTTTAATGTAACTCTATAGACTGCTCTTAAAGGGAAAATTTCAAATGTCAGGAATTTTATCCCACTTTCTTAGAGGAATGCCTGGCTGTACATCCTGGAAGTGCATATTGACATGTGCCAGGAGAGAAGTCCAGGGTTAAGGTAAGACATGATGGCATTGCCCAATGGTGAAGAAGATGGTTAGACTTTAATTGGGAAGGGATTTTCATACCTAGGATTGATTATTTTATGATTTTTATTTTGAAAATAATAATAAAAATTGATATTTTCCCCCTTGTTATTTCCAGAACAATACTGAGCTTGGCACCAGGAGGAAAAAACTCTGAAGTTTTAAGATATCAACAACTCTAGAGACATTGAGTGTTAGCAGTCCTCAGAGATCAGCGCTGCTGCAAACAGCATTCCCTTGGGCTCTATCTGCTGATCCACCTAGTTTTGTGACCCGTGGGGGAACCAGATTCAGCTTGATCACAGCCCTAATCAGGAACTATTCAAAGTGCCCAAGGGGGCGGCTCCTGACACTCAGCCTTTGCACAGGAGGAAGGGGCAGTGCATGCACCAAGATGTTGGTCATGGATGAGGACATCAGCTTTGAACAAAACATAGGATTGGACAACAGACAATATTCCAAACAAGACATAGATGTGCACAGTGTTTTCAGGGAACACCAGGTATTTGGCTTTCCTTCTTGGTGCCCAGTTTCAGTGAAAGCTTTCATCTTGAGAGAGTACTTTTTCAGGATCATGGAGACAGTCTTGGAGACACATGATGATGGATGAGAGAGAGAATGATGAGAAGGACGTGATGGGATGTGGAGGAGAGCACGGGATGAGGGGTGGGTCTCACTCTGCCCTGGCCTCACATTCCTGCCTCAGCCCAAGGAAGCCCTGCAATCCTCAGGGAGGAGGCGGACCCCGGCTTCCATTTGGAAAGGGGGTGAGCCTCCTGTCTCAGCTTAGAGAGATATAAAATGTAGGAACCCCTAATCAGAGGACCAGGGGGGCTCCATGGGAAAGATACTATAATAAGGCAAATAACATAATGGCCTTAGCCTAAGTTCCTATTAGTCACCAATGACACTGGATAATCAAACTAAATGAAAAATAAACACCATTTACTTTTGCTACATAATCAAATGGTGAAATTAAAGCAAACTGTGCAAAAACAAGGCCCTTGGAAATGCATTCAGCCGTGCCCAGGAGCAGAGGAAATGGCTGTTGGCCCTTCCCTAACACTGACTTCAGACCTGGGCTCCTTCTGTAAGGTTTCCTCAGGCGTCTGACCCACCTCTCACATCTTGAACCTCCTGTTAACAAGAACAGAGGAGACACCATTAAGGAGGTTTCCCCCAGCAAGCCTGGGACTCTGAGCCCTACTCCAGCAGGTGGCTGCCTGGCAGGAGCCATGGGGCCCTTACTCCTTACTTCCAAGTCATGGCCAAGTGTCTTCCATCAGAGACCTGAGAGAGCAGGGGCACTGGGAAAGACACGGCCAGGGCTGAAGCAGAGAAATCCGAGGTAAGGCAGGAAGCAGAGGAGACAGATGGTGGCAGCAAGCACAGGGTGTGGCAGATGCACAATGGCACGGGGAGGCATGGCACAACAGTACATAGTACATGACAGACAGGTTATACTGCCTGAACCTTGCAGACATCAGTGCTGTGGCCTCCCTGCCTGAGCGGGGCCAAAAGAACTTACGCTGAAGTCACACATCCATTGGAGCACAGGCAGGTGCTCTGCGCTACTGGGCATCTCCAGGTCTCAGAGTTTCCTGAGAAGAGGCATTTCCCATGGCTTTCACCAACCACCCACATTTGTTCTTGAGAGCTCTCTGCCCATGCCCCACCCATCCCACTGGCCTCAGGTAGCCAGGGGTGGGTGCAGGGGCAGTAAAACCTTCCAGGAGAAACCTGTGCTGGGCAGTGAACAGCGACCCACACCTCTCACCTGGCTGCCAATTCGCGCTGAAAATTCCTAGTTTCAACCCGTCACGAAATCCAGGACAGGCTTTCAGGCTCTTCCATCATGACTCTGTCTTCAGCAGACCAGGGCCTGCCCCTTGTAAGAGCTTCAGAAGCCTCTTGTAAAATACAGAGAGGCCCCCTGGAGTCACATAAAGACCAACAGTGCTTGCTTGTGTTTGTTAATGTGGTGCCCATTTTTAGTCCCCACAGCCATGGCTCTCCCGTGATTGGGGTGGATCGGAGGTGGCATTCCTCAGGCACTGCAGAAAGCCGTCTGCCACCTCATGGCAGCCTTAGCTTGGCCCTCAGCTGCCCTAGGATGAACTAGCCAACCCTTTCCAGACACAGAGCTGCTGTCTGGGACACAGGACAGTAGGAATTCCCCATCAAGGTTCCACAGACCAGAACTACAGCTGGCTTCCACAGGAAGGATGGCAGTCCTGCGCAGCCCAGCCAACAGACAGATGCCTGAAAAGATGGGGAGGGCAGGAGGAGGAGGACATCCCTGAAGACCCAAAGGCTAAGACCTAGGTCCTCAGAACTGATGAGAGGGACATGGGCTGGGAGAGCTATCCAGATCAAAGATACGGCAGTGGGAAACACGATAAGACATTCATGTCCTGTGGACGGTTCTACTGGCTTAATGCTGAAACCATAAGGCAGCACACGAAGACACAGTGTGCACAGCACCCAGGGACCCAGGAGTGACTGGTCATAGGGACATTGCTGGGTTGTCCTGAAGTCTGCCGGCTCCATGTTCCAACCACTTCTTTCTGCATCAATTTATTGAAATGATGACCGTGTGTGTGTGTGTGTGTGTGTGTGTGTGTGTGTGTGTGTGTGTGTTTCTGTGACGAGAAGGGTTGAGAAATTCAAGGTGCCCTTTTTCAAAGTACTGCTGAAATTGGGGCCTTGCCCTCTCATGTGGTCCATATATTTCCAGTTCAAATTAGAGACTTGGAAAAAAATCTAAGATATAAATTGATAGGGGAGGGAGAGTAGGGTGGAGGAAAGTTCTAGAACTTAAACCATATTGGCTATAGGCAGATTTGTCCTGGGAGTAAAGATTGAGGCAGCTGTGTCTTGGAGCCAGGATGGCACACCATCCTAGAGATCTTCCTGGAAAAGGTGGGAAGGGGACAAGTTAACGGTCCCCAAACCTGCAGGCCCTTCACAGAGTTCCAGAACCTATCTTTCCTCCACGTGGGAAACCCGTTTAAAGACTTTAAAGTGAACTGCCCGAAGAGGAGGCTCCCTGAGAAGCATTTCACATCTGTTGTTCCAGGAATGCAGCATTCCCTCCTGCTCACCTCACACAGTCTGCAGAAACCCACTTGTGTGAGGTAAGGCTGCTCATACAGCTCAGGGGAGGAAGGGGGACTGAAGAAGTCCCTTCCCTGGACACAGAGTGTGGAGCACCAGGCGACAAGTACTGGGGAAAAGCTCAGGCTGGGGTTGAGAGCAAGCCAGTCATCAACTGTCCTGGGAAGGTGGAAAGGGACAGCTTGGCTGTGGGGAAGGCTAGGCGTAAGACACAGGCTCCTACTGGTGAGGGCACCTCTGCTGGACTACCAGGCTGCTATGGGCACTGGCCAGGTGGCCACACACTGGTCTCAACAGGGCTGCAGACTGCAAGTGTGTGGAGCTGCGGGATTTCCAGCTTGGAGGGCTCGGCAGCCAGGGTGATGCTGGAGACCTGGGCCAGGCTAGGAAGGTCCTGAGCACACAGGCTCCATGTCGCAGGTCCCCACCCCAGTCTCTCAACAACTAATTTCTTCATAACTTAGCAGACCAAGAAGGGCCTTAAAAAGCACATAAATACAGGAGCTGGTGTGGCCACCAGGGTGGCAAAGCGCTGCTCCCCGACAAAGTCTGAGCACCTGCCCAGCGTGCCTCGGGTCTGCCCTGGAGCAGGGTTAGAGCGAATTTACAAAGCGCGGAGAGCAGAGTGTACTGCGGTCCATCTGGAGGTGGCAGATAAAACTAGTTTTTCCTTTTCTGAGCAGCCTTTCTCTTCTTCTGTCTCTTCTTTTTTCCTATCTTTTCTTTTTTCCCCACTTTTTCTTCTCTGCGCCCCCTTAGATAAAATTAGTAGAACCATTAATCATGTTGAAATACACAGGAGTTTGTCTCAGTCTGCACAAGATTTAACACAGGCTCACGGGTCTGTTTAATTCTGTCTTCAGTCTTAGGCCTGGAGGCCCCTGAGCAAAGTGCTATTCATAGGTCATTCATTAAAATAAATTAGACATTTTCCCCTATTCAGACAAATGTTAAATGGGCTTCCGCATAATACTTTTGAAATAGTTATAGCCATAGCCAATCGGAGGAGCTGAGCCTGGTTCTTACAACCCCCTGAGGCTCTCGTTGGTAACCAGGAATCCACACCACAGAGGGTGTGGAAGGATGCCCAGGATCAGGCAGTTGGTCTTCTCTCTCACCCCTCCCTCTCACCAGGCTTCCTTCTTTCTCAATGCAGAGTTGAAGTCTGTTTGCTTCCTCGTAAAATAGAATAAAATTAAAAAATAAAAAATTTCTGCATTTCAAATCAAATAATGCTTTGGCCTCCCAAAAGAGAAAGAAGGCAGCCGGATCCCAACTTCTCCTTTCTGGAGGTTGGGGAACACCCTCTGGGAATGACTGGGATTGTTCTGGAGAGCAAGGGAGAGAGCTGGTTAGCAGAATTTTATTAGAGCAACTGGCTCATGACTGTCACATTAAAATGATTCAAGCTGAATGGTATTTAATGATTTATGGGGTGAGGCCACCTGTTCTTATGAAAGCCTGATATTAACCGTGGCCTGGAGTCATGGGATTTTTTACATGGGAAAATGGGGTAGCTTGATATTACTAGGGTTGAGTCTCTGGGGATTACATGAGGATGTTAGGAGAACTGAGGAAGAGGAGGAGGGAGGGGAAGAGAATTAGTGAGTCAAATATTATTTGTCAGAAAACTAGCTAGTACTCTACTTCATTAGGTTAAAAAAAAAAAAAGACACAAAAACTTGAGCTGCAGCTTTAATCTGTTCTTGAGACAAAGTCCCATGCAGTGTCACTCACACACGGACTCTGCAGAAGGGATCTACAGCACCTGACCAGCAGGCCAGCTTTTTAAAATATTCTTCAGAAATGCTATGAGCTCATCTCTAATAACTAATCAATTTTATTTCAGGTAAATAAATTCCCACATACAGTAGGAGGTTTATACCCATGAAAACAATGAGCATTTTATTGCTAGTGCATATAATGTCACATTTGATACAATTTTAGTACAAGTGAAAAAATACACTGTGGCTAACATTGAAATGCTACAATAACATTTATATATCATATATATTTCTTTACAAATTGCCAGTAGTTTATCATAGATAAAGGTCACCTACTGACATTCATATGGCTCCACTTCAAATATATGAATCGTTCAACTACAAATATATTCTGAAATACACTTGTTTTCTAAAGAAACATAAAAAAATGTGCACAAAAATATATATAAAAAATGCCTTGCAAAAAGTTACAAATACCACTAGGGCCATCTGTGGATCACATTTATGCACAAAAATTTCATCTTGCCCACATTTCTGATTGGAACAGGAGGACTGTTTTGTGGCAAGGTTATTCATTTATTTTTTTTTTCACTTCTGATTTCATAAACCTCAAAGTTTGTAGAGCCGCCATAGTATATACAGGCTTCAGAGGCAATCAGAGAAACCAAATTCCTTAAATCAAGCTCTCAGATTTAAAATTGCATTTATTAAAATTCTGCAAAAACTTGTCTTTTTGTGGGAAAATGGGGGCATGATTTCACATCCTCCAGGAGGGGGTTGGCTCCATTCTGGAGGAGGCTAAAGTGGGATCTCACAGAGGGCCCAAGTTCCAGGGGAGGCAGAGAGAGGAGAGTGAGGCAGGGCGGGAGTCCACCGATCACCCTCCTTCCTGCCGGGGTGGCATTGATCAGGTTACAGAAATGAGAAGCAGAAGCAAGATGCAGCATGCTTTTGGAGGCAGGGAAAGGTCAGGAATGGCCAGGTGGGGGTCTCTATGCACAGTCCCCAGTGACAGTGGCTTCTAGGTGGAGCCCCCAAGTCCAATCACTAAACTTGAAAGAGAGGGTGAAGGCAGTGGATTCTGCCCAGCCCTGCTGTGTGAGAGAGCCACACAGAGGCATCTTTGGAGGGGCACCCCTGTAGGAGCGTCCTGCACTCTTCCTCAGCATCCTTGGCAGAAAGGATACTTTTTTGAATTCCCTGTGAAGCCATCATCCAACTGTGCCCAGAGGCCCCAGGAGAGGAAAGGAAAAGCTCCAAAACAAACCAAATACAGATTTTGAAGTAATTATCGATTTAAAAAAAATGATGATGAGAATGATGATGATGGTAATGATCATGAGGGAACTGACTGGTGGGGATAATACAATTTCTTAGGCAAACCCCAGTTATAAAAGCTCCATGGATGAATACAAGCTGCAATATCGTACCATACTCTTTAAATGCGGTGTCTATATGCTGGCAAAACTCAGGCCCCACCCCAGATCAATACTGCCTCACAGGCTCACCCCCTCTGGGGGTTCAGGCCCACCTCCCACCAACTCTGCCCTTTATCCCTCACAGGTTTTAGCCTTCCTTAAGTGGGTCTAGTGGAAAGTCCTTTTGGCTGTGGTGCTTACTTGTTTAAAGCTTTCTCCAGGTATTCCTGAATCCACTTTAATTTCGGGTCAATGCACACTTGTCTGTTGTTGCTCTTCAGTCTTGCACTGCCAAAACAAGAGGCCACAGGGTACAGTTGAATGAAAAAAGGCACTGCTGCACTTTGCACATGTGCTCAATCACCCAATTTAGGACTCCCTGAAGGGCCCGGGTGCTCTGCCCTGAAGCTGGAGTTGGAGAGCCTCTCAGATGTGCTGAGGAAAAACACAAGCGGCAGTCTGGAAGGTTCCATAGCAGAGACAGAGAAACAAAAAAAATCTCTTTACAGGAGAGTCCGGGGAGAATTCACAGCAGGGGACATTTGAGTTGGCCTTTGAAGGATAAGTAGGAGCTTGGCAAGTGAATAAAGCAGAAGAGGAAAACAACAGTAAATACACCAAAGGGGTCAAAGTTATATAGAAGATGTGGTGGAGAGTGGAGACAGGATGCTAAAGGACTTGAGACCAGATGTAAGGGGCAATGGAGTGGGGACTTCATGTGGAAGTTTACGGACACTTCTGAGGACACTAGAAGGTGAAAGAAGCAGATTTTAATTTTGCTGGAGTATCTTAATAGCACATGGAACAGACTTAAGAGTAGTCCTGTAGGAGGACTACAGTAATCTGGGGGGTGAGGGCAGTCCAGTGAGGGGAGGGAGATTGAGGAGAAATAGTGCAGGCTGAGAGGGAAGAGTGCAGGTGATTTGCTAGAAAATGGTTTCAGAACGATTTTTAAATTCACTGAATACTTCACGATCTTTTTCTTTCTTTCTTTCTTTCTTTTTTCAGTGCTGGGGATCACACCTAGGACCTTGCACTACCCTGAGCTACACCCCTAGCTTTCATTTATTTTTTTAGATGTTCACAGAACTTTCTGCTTCTCAGCTCCACTCAAAGCTTCCATATATGAAAACTCCTGGGAGGAGTTGGATTTCTCTCTGGACACCTCTTCATAAAGGCCTGGGTAAGAGCAATTTCCAACTTCCCTGTCCTCACTATGAGGACAACTAAGCTCCAGGACAGTGGCTCAGGGACAGCCACTGAGTCTTTAAATAGCCTACCCATGAAGTGAACACAGGTTTGCAAAGCAGGGATGTGGCTTGCTGCAAAGCACATCAGACTGCAAATCTCTGAACAGCCATTTATTAATTTAGTGTTTGCCCCAGACCTGAGAATTGTATTTGGCCTCTTCAACTTCAAAAGACATTCAGAAGAAAGTGAAACTGCATATGTATGCTTCAAAGTTAGGTAAATTCACTATCTTCAAAATATCCTTTACAAGATATATATATATATATATATATATATATATATATATATATATATATATATATATATATATATATTTTGTAAGTCAAGTAGGAAAAAAAAGCCATCTTTTGTGGCCCTAAAACATGTTGTAAATGATAAACACACTCAAAGCAGCAAAGGCTAGAAAAAGAAGAAAGATGAAGAAAACCAAACCTTAAATAGTTGATGTCTCATGGAAAAATCTGGGAAGTTGCAACTTTTGTTTCAACTGCTGTGTCCTTACCCCATTTTTAGCACTAGGACTTTTGAGAAAGCAAATCCTCCCTAAGGGACTCCTAGCTGTCATCTCCCTAGGTACAGACACAGAATTACATGAGGGCAGGAGAGCCAAGCAATAGATTTCTAAGCATGTGGCTTTCTTCTGCACCAAGAAAGATTTTTGTGCCTTGCAGATGTGTGATTTTGAATTTTTCTTATTTCTCATATGAATGAAATAAAATGTTGGCAGCTGCCATCAACACCAAGGGCAGTGGAGACCAACAACAACAAAAAAATTAAACTCATAGGTTGGACTTGAAAAAAAAAATAATGCAGTTAAATGAGCTGAAAAATTTGAGACTTTACCAAATGATTAAAGATGACTTCAATTGAATTTGAGTCTTGTGATCTTTTCCTATGAGAAAAGATTAATTCAAGGTTCTGAAGCTGATGGAACAAATAGAACCATTACTAGCAACAGGATGGCTAATTTACTGGCCTTTGGCCAAACCCATGGTGAAGTCCATAGTTTCTCCAGTACAGAAGGAGCCAGCTGTGCTGTGCCAGAAAGGAGGAAGTTTGAAGGTGAAACAAGAACAACTAGGAGCCCAGTAGGGGGCCAAGGACAGAGTAGCTTTCAAAGCTCACATCTGATGGCATTTTCAAAGTCTTCATGGTAAAAGTAGTTGTCATTAATTACACCAAGTTAAGGCTGGATGCCCAGCATCTGTCATTTCTATACTATATCAATTAGATGCAAAATCACTGGAGGATGATACTGAAGACTTACACAATCTGGAGAGAGCAATTCGGAGTGTTGAGGATTTTGAGATGCCTGACATTGACTCTGGCAACATGGCTTTCGAAGAATCGGCATGGACATCTGTAGCTCAGGCTGACCGGTTTTCCTAGAAGAGGTAAGAAGAACAAGGCCCCTTATTACCTTGCCAGGCATTACTGGGGATCCAAGGGATGAAATGATAGTAGGTGAATAATCAAGGGCAATGTGATGAATTACACATTACAGGGCATTCTGGCAAAGAGCATCTCATGAGGCAGCATGGAGTTCTAGCTGGGCTCAGGATCTGCTTCTATAGGACAAGGGAGCAAAATCAACTGAGAGAGCTGGACCCTCGGGGAATAAGGAGATTAAAGGAGAAGCCACCTGCTCAAGGTGTCTGAAGATAAAGGTAGAAATTACAGAAGATAATGGTTTTAGTTAAAGGCACTGAGATTCCCAGTTTTTCTTGGCAAAGCAAACTTTTCCACTTCTCCTGGGCTACAAGTAGAGAAAGACTATTTTAGGGAAGGGGGAAGGGAAAGAATGTGGCTCAAGGCTCCCTCCCCTCCCCCTCTGGCACAAGCTTTGGGTCAAGAACTGCAAAGCTCAGGGGAATGCTGCCCTCCCCCATCTGCAGTTTTCTCCTGTCACATTCACCTTAAGCCCTGAAAACCACAAAAGAATCTCAGCCCAATTCCTACCTGGGAGTCCTCAGAGTGCAGGCTCAGGGCTTACCTTCTCCCTAGTACTTCCCCGAAGGCTGGAGTCAAATGTGGCTTTTATTGCCCTTACAGGGATGTGACAGTCTCCTGGATCCTATTACAGTCTTTGTTTGCCAATTCACCAATTTGCAAAATGCCATAATTGACACTCATTAGTGTAAATTAGCAAGGGGCTCCTGCGGAACCCTTTAAGACAGGCCCTTTAAGTCTAGAATTGCAAGCCCTGGGGGGGATGGGATTTATTTATTTATTTTTCTTCTTTCCTGAAGATTTTTCCAATACCTGCTTAATATCCCACATTATTTGAATTTGTGGATATTTTCATCCAGGATTACATGTATGCCCGAGAATATTTAATTTGGAGTATTAGGGTTTCGTTTGCCTGTTTAGAGTTGCCTTTGGGATATGGCTGTGGAAGTGGGTCAGGTCTTATGCACGAGGGGCTTATTTTTTTTTTCCACAGGCTACATTCAGTGGAGGGATGCTGTGGCCTGGGAACAGCAGTGTATTTTGTCACCAAGTCAGAGGAAAAGCAGACACCCTCCACCTGCCAGGACCAACCTTGAAAACCATGAAGAGAAAACCTGGCATCAAGGTAAAGAAAACCACCAACACAGGGCTGATTCCAGCAACTACACGGGTCCCTGCAGGGGAACTCAGTGGTGCCCYGTAATCAGATCACCTGGGAAAGTGACCCAGAGAATGGCACCTGGCAGGCTGAGACTGAAGGTCCCTGAGTGCTGTCTCTGGCTTTCCCTCTTTCCCTGCATTTCTCTTGGGCCCTTCTGAGTTGCATGGGGGCTGGAGACCTGGAGCCTAGTTGTGAGGTAAAACTTGCTCCGACCCCACAGCAACAGTGAGCTTGAAGGGAGACAGCACATAGTGCACAAATGCAGCAGCAGCAGCAGCAGCAGCAGCAGCAGCAGCAGCAGGAGCATTATGTTGACTGGGGGCTGCTTCTCTCCCAACTCCCCATAAGTTTTCTGGCACCTCTAACCAGTGGATATCAGGCCAGAAATCAGAGCTGATTCCGTGCTCAAAACACAGGCTTTTTCAGCTTCTCTCCCCTCCCCCTCTACCCCTTGGGATTATCCATTTCCTTCAAAGGCAATTCTTATTCCTACCCTCAGGACCCCTCTGTCTGTCTGTCAAGCAGGGAGTTTCAACAGTTTTTTTAAAGTGATAGAGCTCCCTGGTGTTCTTAATGGGAAAATTTGATGCTGGTTCAACCTTGTGTCTTTTCCTCCAGTGTTTTTTTTTTTTTTTTTTTTTAACTGTTACTAAATTTTCCAACTATTTTGGGTGTGAATCCATGTAAAAGCAAAAGTCCTGACCAGCTCCCATATCACCTGGATTTGGAAGCTAGTGAGATTAGCTCCCAGAGCAGTTTCCAGAGAGTATTCTACTGCAATGCAGAGACAAGAGCCCTGGTCAGCTCCTCCAAGCAGGACTGGGAATCTGACCCACCTCAGGAAGCCTAGGGCACCTGAGGACCCAATTGCTTGACCCAGTCAGCCAATAAAAGGAGGGTAGAAGTGATGCACACAATGAGAAACTGGACCTGCCTGGAACACAGGGCACTGACCAGGCCACTTATAAGTGTGAGGCACTTACTTCCTCTGTGTTTCTCTTAGGTCAGCTGCACCCAGAACTCAAGGACCTGGGTCCTTGAATTTCTGTATCCTCAAAGCACCCCACGACCACTACCACCAAGGGAGTGCGCAGCCACCATTTACCAGAGAGGTGCACTATGATAACTCCACCCTCACCAGATCCCTCAATCATTAACGCCCAAACAGAATGAATGTCCTGTGACCCAGGATGGGGATCAGTAGGAAGACTTAGACTGCGGACACTTTTTTAGCAGAAAAAAAAATCGAAAATTGCCTGTAGTCTGGACCCTTTTCAGCTCTCACTAGCAACTCATGTTTTTCGAGAACACTTCCCACGCAGTCAGCATTCACGGGGTTAGCTCAGCCTCTCTTGCCAGTTTAAGAGGTGCTCACACCCTACTTACACCGGCAGCGACTCATTGTCCACACTTGGGTGAGAAACCAGTCTAGTCCTGGGGTCACGCTTGGGTACCACACAGACCACAGCTGCACTAAGAGCACTCAGAGTGTCCTTCAGCCCTTTGCAAGTAACCTCCTTGCAGGAAGGACGCTTGGCCTGATTGACACGAGTTTTGTTTGTGCACTGAGACAACAGTTTATTTTGGTTAGCAGCAGCGGTGTCCTCTAACAGTGTACCCAGTTGAGTTGTCTCTTCAGAGTCAAAAGGTAAGGAGCTCTCCCAGTGAAACAGGACACCACCATTTCCAGGACCCAAGGCCTTGGCGATTGAACTATGGTGCAGCTCCTATTCCGAAGCAGCTGGCCGGTGACAAAGGCGCCAGTCTGCAGGTGTGTTTGGGGGGATGGGGTAAGGAAGAGAGTGCATGGCCTGGACGGCCCCTAGGCCTCTCTTTGGTGACCCCAGGAAGAGTCATGGAGGCAGTAGGTGGACGCTACCCAGGTCCGCGTCGATGCAGACCGTCGAGCTGTGCAGAACGCTGCTGGCTGGTGGCGCGAGCCCGACAGCTGCTCTGGGCCGCCAGCCGGCGCTGGCAGAGAGCCCCGCGAATGTGCGGGAAAAGGACCCACTTCACTTGGAGTGGATGCAACACTGCTGCATCCCACCTCGCAGCCAAGATAAGCCCTTCGCGATACTTAACCTGGTGTGCAAAGAGCTCTCTCCTACAGTCATGTCTGATAGTATCTCTCACACCGTGCGCATCGGGACTCTGAGCCCCTTAGCCGCTGGAAACCGACCTTGGTGCCCAAAGGCACTAGTTGGGGGAAGACAGGCGCCTAGGACGCCTCGAGACACCGCTCTCCAAACCCGCGCACTACAGCACCAGTTCCGCACACGCCACCAGCTCGCTCTTGCCCAGTTATCCTGCCCGACCTAACTCTGCAGCCCGCTGGAGGTCCGCCGGCCGCTTTTTGCCAGGCGCAAAGCCTCGAAGCGATGCTTTGAGCTTAGGACGTGGCACTCGGAGGGAAGGAGCATGCAAAGTGAGCTGCCTCGGTTCCCCTGTGCCAAGCGGCGGGAACTAGGTTCGCTCAGGACAGCGCGGGCGCAAGCAAAGAAGCCACGGACCTTCGCGGAGCGGGAATCCCAGAGTCCAGAGCATTACCCCAGCCTTGGCCGCCGAGCGCACTCACCATCGCTGAGGCAGAGCGCAGCCAGCACTAGGGCCAGTACGGCGACGACCTTGGTGTCCATGGCGCGGGCGGGAGGGCGCTCGGGTGGCAGGGGAAACACAGGGACCAGACACGGAGCGAGTGTAGCGGCGGACGGAGAGTGAAAGTGCGGCGGCTGGAGGCGCTCGCCTGGCGCTTTAGAGGCGAAAGCCACCCGGGGCGGGGCATGGAGTTAGGCAAGGGGCGGGCCTGGAGCCGAATCCTGGCGGTGGCGGGGGTCTCTGACGCGCGTCCTTCTGCAGTACGGCGGTTCCTCGGGTCCCCACCCTCCCGCCCCTCCTCCGCTCCCGCGGTGCTCCTGGGACCGCAGGGTGCCCCGGCCTTTGATCATCTCTGGCCCTGCTGGGTCCTGCCTGGCGCGCCACCCCAGCAAAGAGGCTCCCAGCCGCGCATTCCCATTATGCAGATAGAGAGACTGAGAGAAAGTGGGGAATCTGGGAAAAGCTGCGAGACTCTGCCTTCTGTGGCAGGGACTGAGTGAGAAGCGATAAAAAGCAAACCAGTTGGTTCTGGGAGCGAAAGCCCGCTGTGCCGCAGCAGCGTTCCAGGGCGGCCAAGAGCTACCTGTTCTCCTAGCGCAGGTCCTCAAGCTGACCCTTCACCCGACTTCACTGCGGTGCCACCCATCAGAGCCACAAGGATTTCAAGCCAACGCCATTGCTAACCTAGACTCCACGTCCCTCGTTGCGTTGTAAAGTTCTGGAAAGTTCTAACAGAGTGTTGGCCGCCTCGAAAGGAAACAAAACCGTTCGCCCCGGGGCCTCTCAGTAAACGTGAATTTATTTAGCCCTTTGTACCTCTGTTCTCTCAACTGTGGAAGGGGCTGATCACAGTTTCCACCCCACAACGTGGAACTAGGGAAACTGAATGAGAATCCCCCGCCCCACCGCCAAGTCCTCATCATCCTGTCTGACACATAGTCAATCCTCAATTAATGGAAGCTGGGAACAATTTTTAAAATTTCAGTATTTCCTGCCTCTCCCTAATGAAAGCCCAACGCGACCCAAAGGCCTGAGAGAACTCCCATCCTCCTCTACCTTTTAGGATGGTGCTGCTGGGGTTGCCGTTCAGGTCCAGAGAACTTCACCTTCGGAGCAGTCCCTTGGCAGTGTTTAGCCCTCCAAGTAGGTCGCCGCGCCTGGATGCCCCGTGACAGCTCCAGTCAAGTGGGGAAGGGTTGTCGGCAGGCGGCCCAGGAGGCTCTGGAGTGAGGAGAGCATCCTTTGGCACCTTCCTTTGAGCCAGGTAACACTGGCCACCTCTTTTGTCCCTTTCTTCCAGCCAGTGAAGTGGGTTCGATGTCTGCGTCCATTCATGGGTCGCTCAATGCCAACAGACCTCTGACCCTGGGGAGCACTAGGATCCTAGCCATCCCGCAGTGGGGGCCCCAGGTACCTGGGTCAGCGACTCCCTCTGAAGAACAAGGATGGGGTGTGTGTGTGTTGAGTGTGGGGAAGGAGTCAACAGGAGGCTGCCAGGGTTCTGGAAATTCAGCGGTAGAAACAAACGTCTGCTGCATAATGCCCTCACCCCCGCCCACCACCACCACCACCACCACCACCACACACACACACTTTGGCTCCCAGTTAAATGGGTCTGAATTCATTCATTCATTCACCTCAGCCTAGCCCACTTCAGGGCACCGAGTGGGAACCCCACTGACTTGGGTCCACGTCCTTAAAAGATTAACAATCTAGCGGAGGAGGAAGTCCTTGGGCACTCTCTAGGCCTTCACTTGGTCCAGAGACAGGCCAGTAATCTCCAAGTCCTGGAATTCAGCCTGCAATTGACCTATTGCAGCGGCTGGGCTCCGGCGCCCTCTGGTGGCGACATCTTATGCAGATAGACTGAGAGATAAATGAGCTTCCTCGCTCAGGGATTCTGGTAACCTGAGGCTAAGTTTAGGTAAGGCTATGATGCCTACACAGCCCGGTCAAAGACCAGGATCCACGGCAAATCTCACGACTGACCTTAGTGTCTTGTACTGGAGCCCCAAGTCTTGTGCACCGCCGGAGCCAAGCCCAGCTTCTCCCTTAAGTCTGGCCAAAACAAATGGCAAATCCTCTTGACACCAAATCTGGTGGGTACAACCTATTATTCTCAGCCTGAAGGTGCCCTGGGAGAGTCTGACTTGGGCTGAAGATGTGACCCAGGCGAACCAGGGCTTTAGGAAACCCCGGATCCTGAAGATGCATCCCCAGACTTCAGGATGGAGGTTAGCATGGGACCCATCCATGCCCACTGCTCCCTCATTCATAAAAATAATACTTATTGAATACCTTCTGTGTGCTTAACTTTGCTGTTTAAAGTACATCAGAAAAGGAAGCAGCTGGGCACAGTAATGACACATACCTGTAATACCAGTAACTTTGGAGGCTGAGGCAGGAGAATCGCCAGTTCAAAGCCAGCCTGAGCAAATTAGCATGGTCCTAAGCAACTTAGAGAGACCCTGTCTCAAAATAAAAATAAATAAATAATAAATAAATAAATAAATAAATAAGGATTTGGAACATGGCTCAGTGGTTGAGCACCCCTGGATTCAATCCCCGTACCTAATACATAAATATGAAGCAAAAATCCCCTCATCCTGGGACTAGGTGTGTATGTGTTGGGGGAGGGGAGGTCATGGAGAAGGGACAAATGACACCAAATATAGTAAAAAGCATATAATATGCAGAAGGTCATTAAGTGCCATGGGGAATAAAGCAGAGAAAGGGAGGAGTTATTTTTAAAATATGATTGCCAATGATCTACGTTTAAAACAAAATCCACACAATTTTATAGTTGGCAAATGATTTAAATTTAAACCCTGAACACTGAGGAGGACTCAACAAACTATGGATAGGGGTGCCATACCCAGTGACAGCCCCAGCCAAGTAGTTTTTTAACTAGCTCTATGCTCAGCCACAGGGGCAACCCCCAAATTCCAGATAGTAGAGCTCACCATCCTTTCCCCATTGTCACTTGCACTTGCTACTGTCTCTGCTCAAAAATGGTCTCACTTGATCTCTCTTCAGGAAGTCTCATCAAGGCTCAAGAAGTTGATCTTCTCTGTCAGATCTTCCAGCTCCTTTCCACACAACACAAGGAATGCTGGGAGCTGCTTTTCTTCAGGAGCCATCTGAGCTATGTAAAATTCAAGGGGGTGGGTGGGTGGAGGCAGAGATCTGGCTGCTGAATTACAAGGCAGGTGCAACTCTGTGGCCAGGATCAGGACTCCTGGCATAGGCACCTCTCCACTCTCCTCTTTGTACCTGGTATGGTTCATACCTTCAGGGTTCGATGACTGTGTTTGCTGGTGGAACCTCAGTACAAGACTGAAGATTTGCACTAAATAAATATATGTTGTACAGTGTATAAATGACAAAGTGACTTCGATTGGTACTCTTTTGAGAACTATATTTTTAAAGTAATAAGAAAAATATGACTAGTATATTAAAGCCATGCATTTCAGATATTGTACAGGGTCTGCTTTCTTTTTTTCAAAAAAAAAAATTCACGTTTCTAAGTGAGTCAGTTTGCACTAATATACCATGTAATAGTCTAGGTGGCTGGGGACATTGAAAAAATGTTGACAATGATACAAAAAACAAAACAAAACAAACAAAMAAAAAAAAACCCAACCAAAACCCTGAAGTTTGAAAATGCTGTCTAAATGATTATTAAACATTGTCTCACCCCAACCCTCTTTTTTAAATAAATGATTAGACCTCAGAGTAGCAAAACATAAAATCCAAAAAGGGAGGTGGGCTCATTTACCTATGAGGTAAGGCTAGAGAATGCTCTTCCAGGAGTGCTCAGATCCTAGGAAAGGAATGGGAACATGTGGGATTCTGGGACACTCTTGTGTCCCCTCCTCCCCACAGCAGAGTGCTCCCTGAAGGCTCAGGGGAAGGCCTGAAGGGGTTCAATGAAGAAATGGCAACAGGTGCTCTGCCCCTTGTCCCATCCAGCTCTGCTCTTGCATTTTTGACACCTTGCCTCGGGGTTCAGGTGCCCTATTCAGAACAGGAAGACCTAGAAAGGAAGACAAATCCCAGAGCTTTGCTGAGGTCTTATGTGTAGTGGGTACACAAGCTGTTATGGTTGATGTTAGATGTACTGAGTGTGAAACCACTTGACAAAGAAAGTCCTTTGGAAGATATCTAACAATTCTATTTTCATAGAACTTCAGCTTGCTGTTCTGAATTTACCGCAGTAGGTTCTTAAAAAGACCAAGTTAGCACAATAAGTGCTCCTGCCCCAGTTTTGAAGTCAAGATATGCAAGGCTCAGCATGTTTTGAGGCTTTGGCCAACATGATAGACCCAGCCAGAGGCAAAAGCATGATTGTCTGGGACCAGCATCTCTGGGTCCTGGACCATCAGCAAGCCGCAAGAGTGTGTTTAGAGACATGAGTAACTTCTGTGGTAGTCATCAGGGGACATCTTAGAGTCTTTTACCCAAGAGCCAGGGCTCATCATCTTTTGGGCTGGTTATGATTTCCTTGATTGAATCCCAAACTGCCTTAGGAAACAGTTTCAAAGAATCCCGGGGCCATCCTTGCAGGAAAGGAACCTGGAGAGACTGAGCTAGACCCCACTGGTTTTATTTTTTCAGGCCAGATTCACTTTCAGGGACTATACAGCCAGCAAAAAATGGCTCTGCCCAGAGATTTCCCTTCAGTGGACACCGTAACAGTACAGCAGTATTTTCCAGGACATCCCCTAGGAGTATCAGACTACCAGGGTATTTTTAGGGAAAGATCAAACCTGAGGGTCAGGTGTGTGACCCTGCCCTGACACTAGGTCGCAAGCCCTGATTTGATTCAATGCTGCCTGGACCTCATCACCCAAATCAGAGGAGGCAGGTCTGAATTTGTTCTACCATTCCGTTCCTGGCTACAGTCTCTCTCCTTTTACCCCTACCTCTGGGTAGATTGGACTCAATTTCTAGGGCTCCACTAAAGTTTCAGAGTACAATAATTGCTCCTTATCTGAGGATTCACTTTCTATGGTTTTAGTTACCTGTAGCTAACTGAGATCTAAAACTGTTTGATGGAAAATTCCAGAAATAAAAAATAAGTGTAGTAAGTTGTGTGCCAATCTGGATGGCAGAATGACATCCCACATCATCAACTTCATTGGGCCCAAGACATCAATCATCCCTTTGC